TATTAAAAATAAAGGCTCCAGACTAGAAACTCAAAGCAACTAAAGTCAGAATACATTTTATTACTGATATAGAAATATTCAATCCTATATGTCAACCTTTACTTTTAATCCTCCTCAACAAGGAGGACACCGGTGGTGCACAAATTTCTGAACAGATGCCATTGTTGAGAGACCTTTTTTCTTTGCTAGAAAGTTTGTGTTGCTCGACGTTTCTCTTTTCAAATACTCCCAAGTTGTTCTATTGGCTTCAAGTCAGGCGACATTCTTGGCCAGGTCACAAGTTTCTCTGTTTTTTTCTTCTATGGAAACTCTTGTGTAATTTAGGGAGTGTGCCACGGAATCTTATCCAGCTGGAATAACTTCTCTTCTGCCAAGCTGATCTTGTCTTCCAGTGTTTTGGTATATCCAAAAGCATCTGTAAATGTCAATCTTACCAACACTTTTGCATTTATGCAGCCCCAAATCGTCACATTTCCATCTCTGTGCTTCACTGTTGGGACTGTGCATTCACTGTGGTAGTCATGCTGGACCCTATCTAAACCAGAAAAATATTTCTTTCTTTCTTTTACTGTTCAATCACATCCAGTACAGTATGAGCACACATGATCTCCATTTAGTTAATTATATAATGATTTTTTTCTGTTTAAAAAGGTAAAACAGTGCTCTACTCCAGTATTTCTTTTAAATGACAGCAGTTTGACTGAGTGAGTTTTGCTGAAATTGTGAAGAATGACCCTAAAGAAAAACTGTAAAACACTTAGAGTTCAGTATTGAAGATATTCCATCTTCACTGAGATCAAAGCTCTGCAATAGATCTGATAGCAAACATCCATGCATCGTTTCAATTCCATGATTATAAGACACTTTATTACCGAGGCAGGTATTAGGTGATAGATTGTAGTTGTTCTCTTTTACAGCACAAATTACACAAAAACAAGCTCTAATAAAAGGTAGTACTTAATTCACCACAACATATTATCATTAACAACCTCAAACTCTTGATCTAAAATCTGAAATCAAAACTTTTTTGTGGAATTAATGTCAAAGGTTGAAACTACATCCAACACTCATTTTGAGACATGTGAAGCTTGGTTCACTGGTGCCAGGTTTCCATGAGGTTTGACTGGGTTTACTCTTTGGGTTTGCTAGATCAAGGAGGTGAATGGTTGGATCAGTGTGGCCATGCCGCCTGTAATAGGACATTGATCCTTCTCCCACTGTGTGCGTGGTGATCCATTTTCTGCTTTGAGGTACTGCCAAAGGGTGTGATCACAACAACGCATTGCACTTGGTGGCTCTCATATGGGACCTTATTCATTCCCAACAATGTGTGAGTTAGTGTGTATAAACACTGTGCGTGTACACATGTTGGTTGAATGTGCGTCTCTCTTTGTAACTTTATATTTTTTTCCTGTTTGTGTACAAAGCAAGCATGTGTGTGAACAACGCTTTAGCAGTGTAGAGACTCTTGGGCCCTGGATTCATATCCCATATCACAAAGAATAAAGTCTTGCCTTGTATACAACCTGCTTTATTTCATATCCCCCAGGAGTCACGTAATCTCTTCTTGCCAGCCCACCTACCTCCTAATAACCCCCACTGTTTTCTGTCCCTTGTTCTGTCATTGGCTTGGAGGTGCAGAAGTTGGGCTACCGGGGCAATAAAAGGAAGGAGGTAAACAGCATCAATCACTCGTTTGGTGGGGATGGAGTGAAGAGTCAACACCATCTACATCAGAAGGTAAGATGCACTTGTTGCTTTTTTTTCTTTCTTTTTGTTTTTTGTTTTTTTTTTTACAGTGTAAGCCCACTGTGTTGCAACCAGCAATGACAAGCGCTGCTCCTGTTCTGTCTGTGATCCTCTAACTTCCATCAGATCATTGCGTCAAAGCCTTCAGCATGTCGTCCGTTCACCTTGTCGTCCTGATCTTCGTGGCCCTGATGGCCGTGCTGGCCTCTGGCGCCAGAACCACGCGTTGGCCCAAACCACAGAGCACCAAGAAGCCCCCTCGAGCTGGGAGCAGTGGTGGAGGTGGGGGTGGAGGATTTGTACGGACCACCACCACAACGACCCCATCCCCTTCCAGCCTGCACACAGATGAAACAACTGAGATCATGATGGATGCGTACTCCCTGTCCCCTACAGACAGCACCACCTACCCCAGCGACACTTACCCGACTGAGTTTCACACTGACGCCATAGCGCCGCCTGGGAACACCCATGGAAACTATACACTCGACTACAATGAATGCTTCTTCAACTTTTGCGAGTGCTGTCCACCAGAAAAAGGCCCCGTAGGGCCCATGGGAGAGAGAGGGCCACAAGGGCCACCAGGAGAGAGGGGCCCTATGGGTAAGTTGGATTTTTGTTTTCAGGAAAATTACCCTTTTGCGTGTCCTTCTTCCTAATCTTTTATGTTTTTCAGGGTTGCCTGGAGAGAAAGGTGAAACAGGGCCCAGAGGACCTCCAGGACCAGCAGGATTTCCTGGAGCCAATGGACTCAATGGCGACATAGGTACAACGGGGCTTATCACCAGGAGAGCTCTTGAATGTGTCTCGGTTTCTCTCTCTCTATGCCTCTCTCCTTTTTTGCAAAACGCTGCTTTCTATAAGTTCGTTGTGGATGTCATTTTCTACGCTTTATTTATCAAAACTGCTACAGGTGAAAAAGGGGATCAAGGACCTGTGGGTCTACCTGGTACTCCTGGGATCCCAGGAAAACCTGGAGAAAAAGGTGCATAGTTTCCTACAAGAACTTTGATGGAGATGTGTAGATTATCTGCTGTAGTCATATTCCATCCAAATGCATAAATGCACTTCATAAACAGGCACAAATGAATATCTCTTCTGAAAATCAAAGAAAATTCTTCCTTTGTGAACATAACCTCTTCACATACTAGGTGATCCGGGCCTCCGAGGAGAAAAAGGTGAACGTGGCTTCAGTGGTCTGAAAGGGGACCCAGGAGAAAGAGGAGAGCCTGGCCTGAATGGGACTAAGGGGAGCACTGGGCGAGAGGGGCCTATGGGTCCCCCGGGGGTAGCTGGGACAAAGGGTCAGAAAGGTGAACAAGGACTTACAGGCGAGTGTTTACCGGGTGAGAAAGGAGAGAAAGGGGATGTGGGCGAGCGTGGGCCCCTTGGTCCGAGAGGGGAGATAGGCCCCCCAGGAGCAAATGGAACTGGTGGTCCAAAGGGAGAGAGGGGGGAGCCAGGGCCTCCAGGAGGGAAGGGGGATACTGGGGCAAGAGGGGCCCCAGGACCACCAGGTGGGAGGGGCATGGCAGGGTTGAGGGGGGAGAGGGGACTTAAAGGTGGGCGCGGGCCTCGTGGTCCGAAAGGCCCTCCAGGTGAGAGCGTGGAGCAGGTTCGCTCTGCTTTCAGTGTGGGTTTGTTCCCCAGCAGGTCCTTCCCTCCGCCCGGCCTGCCTGTGAAGTTTGATAAGGTGTTTTACAACGGGGAGGGGCACTGGGACCCGACACTTAATAAGTTCAACGTCACCTACCCGGGGGTCTACTTATTCAGTTATCACATCACTGTGCGCAACCGGCCTGTGCGCGCTGCCCTGGTGGTTAATGGGATACGGAAGCTGCGGACAAGAGACTCTCTGTACGGCCAGGACATCGATCAGGCGTCCAACCTCGCACTGCTGCAGCTCAGCGAAGGTGACCAGGTGTGGCTGGAGACGCTGAGAGACTGGAACGGAGTTTACTCCAGCAGTGAGGACGACAGCACTTTCTCTGGCTTCCTGCTTTACCCGGACTCAAAGAACAAACCTGCCGCCATGGAAAACCTGTGACTGCAACCTCTTGACCTTGAGTGAGCTCTTCTTCTACTCCCTGTAGACTCTGCACAGCCTTCAGCCCTGTACTGCACTGCTCTGTCAAATTAATGTGATTCGGCTCAGTCTCGCTGCTCAGTATCTGCTTTGCTGCTGTTGTGCTAATCAAACCAACCGCTTTGCTTGCCTTGCTGTATTCGGAGATGGATGAGGCTTGAATTTACTGCTGTACGCAACATTTCAGTTCTTTGTAACACTGCATTAAAAATGACTCTGCTTGAAATTAATGATCTTTGAGATTCATTTACGTAGAAACAAAGCTTTAAGCTAATTTATGAATCATTTGTCATTGCAGTGGGGATAGATAAGCTCTGTGTCAGGGAGCCATATACAAGTTTGGTAACAACTGAAGTTAATGTTATATAATTGCATTTGGACTCCACTAGAGGGCGTAAGGTGTTCAATTTTTGCAAAGAAGCAAGGGAGACAATATTATACCAAGGAATTAGAAAATGATGGTGATAAAAATGTTGCCCACAAAGACTATGAAAGTGATATTTCCATCATCAAGTTGGATATTCCAAAAGAAAACGGCTTCAAACACACACACAAACAAAAACCACAAGATGTTTTTGTTCACTTACTGAAGGCAAAACAAGCCAAGATAAATATTTAAGCTCCCAATGCAGATACCATTTATGGAGAAAATCGCAGGATTTCTGGTTGACTCTCGCACACTATTTTTACACTCCTGCTTGTCATTCACCACAGCTCTGCATCCGCTCCATTTAAAAGGCTAAAATAGGTTCATGATGCGAATATGGTAATTTACTAGGCCTGTAAGGCATCGCAGAAAAACAGCAGTGGCAAGATCAGGAGCGAAATGCTTGTTGTTTCCTCTGATCAGAAGTAAATATTAAGGAGCATAGAGGTCTGATATGATTTTTAAAAATCCATCACCCAAGCTGAAGTAAAAACTATTGCCTCATTGATATTACACGGCCATAACAGCAGATTAGCTGCCTTAGCCCTGAACAGGGAGGATAACCCTCTGCAGCAAAGCGAGGTGCACCATAAATTATACTCTAGTGTCCCCACGTTGTACAATGAAAAATAGCGCTGACTTTTACGAATGCTATATCTCATTAGGCTCTAAACAGTCAAGACCTCTCACCAGATTACAACTGATAATAACTCATTTTCCTTTACACAACAGCAATCCATTCAGAAGATAAACGGCATCTAGTATTTGTTGAACTGAGAGGCTCTGAGGCATTTTTATGCTGTGACATTTTTGTTAAATGTAGGAATTAGTGGGACTGTGTTGCTTTGTTGCTTTGCTTTTTTCATGGCGCTTTGTAATTATTACATTTAGGAATAATTTCTCGTTAGTAAATGGCATGTCAGCCTTTGGTAGAAATCTCGAGAGACTTGGACAGAAAAATGTCATCACTAAAAATCTGGATCTCATTACATATGAAGTGATAAGAGAGATGCCGTTTCTAATATAATATTGAGTAATGTCTCCTTCCCTTCCTCAATGGATAACATTTCTTTAAGTACTGTATCATTTTTTCATATGATCTTTTTTTCTACACAAATTGATCCTCGAAGTCCATTACAAATGGTTGAATGAGAAAATCAGACTGATAAAATCTTTATTGCTAATGAACTGTATGTGTCTGTCTATGGATCTCTTCACCAGTGAGACAGGATATTCCTTTACTCTCCTAATTTAAAAAAACCTCCATCAAATCTTATTTATTATCAAATATTGATGTCAAAGTTCTCATGTCTTGACTGTTAAATGATGACAAAGTAATAAACTGAGCCTATATCAGAGAATTTCATATTCCTTTATCAATACAACATACCAAAGATTATTTAGGATACATGAATGTCTGATTTTTTTAAATGCAAACCTGTATAAGACTTTTTTTAGTTGCTCTACCAGACATCTATATTTCCCTGTTTTCCAAAGGGAGATACATAGTTTTTTGTGTACCTTTAAGGACTACGGCAGCCTGCAGAAATAATTACTATAACATGAAATATTGTCACATATCAGACACTGGAAAATTATAGTTTTAATTTAGCACTATCACACACAGTCTGTATTTTTGCTCCTTGCATCTTTTACAAAATAATAATTAAGAAGCAGGTGACTTTTTTTCTTTTATATCCGACACCTGAGCTCAAGCTGTTGAGGTCTAAACAGATCAGTTTAAAAGAATAGAACCAGCCTTGCGATGATGGTTGCATAATTGTAATTAAATACCATATGTGCATTTTGCAGTGTGCCATTTTGGAATCAATTCTCTAGTGACCAAAGGTGATTACTTTTGACACTGATCAATTTTTATTTTTTATGACTTATTGCAGCACTGAAATGATTTTTATTTCCCAGCCGAGGTTGCTTCTTTAAAGCTAAAGCCGTCTCCCTTATTGGAGAGGCTTTATTGATTGGGGGAAATTGATTGGAACATTCTGAATTAATTAAAAGTTAACTTTAATTAAGGGAACACAATATGTATAATTTAGAGAAGAATACTGAACAGACACATAACAATGAGACCTGTTAAAGAGGAAAGCCCAGAGTGACATCTCCATCTACTGGTGAAGGACATACATTTCTGGCACTTTATTTATGCTGCTGTTTGTGGTGATGGTGGTGTGTGTGTGTGTGTGTGTGTTTGTTAAAATGTTATTTTGCTTGTTTGTTTATAGGCCTATCTGCGGATATGTGTGTATGAGTGTGTGTGTGTTTATGTGTGTGTGTGTGTGCATTTATGTATTTTCTACTACTCTGTGTGAAAATATAAATAACTACCTTGGCGGTGTGTGCAGTGTAATCTGTTCCCAGCAGGCTGGATTCCCACTGTGAGAAAGACAGTATATTGTTCCTGCAGCACCACAGATAACAACTCATTAGCATACTGAATCATTTGGCTGCAAGAGCCACTCTGCCACCCATCTGCACTGAGCTGATAAACACACACACACGCCAGCTCACACACACACACACACACTGATCTATGCAGCGCGCACACACATGCACACCAGCCTGCTCTCACAAACATGTACACTCACACACACACACACACACACACACAGCCTCAATCTTCCTCTCACTCCCTCCCTTTCAATCCCTCGCATACACTCCCTGTATCCCTCTCTTTTGTGAGTCTGCGTCTTTCTGGAGAGTCAGGAACACTGAAGCAGGTAAATGTTTGGCAGGCATTAACCCGGAGAGCCCCTCAGTGGAGTCCAAGCACAGCCAGAGCAGAGCGCAGGAAGAGGTCTCCGAACACCTGGATGTCTCTGATGCTCTCTGGAAGCAATTATAGCTTTTGGTAAACGTCTAAGTGTTCATTCTGTTGCAGTAGTGGTACTGGTGGCATCGCCCACTGTGTAAAGTTATGGAATACAGGAAGGAAGACTTTAAAAAAAAAAGCAGCCTTTATGCTTTATATATGTATACATATGCATTTAAATGCGTGTATATATACATATTTTTTGTATTCATAACCACAGGTTGGTGCACATAACTTTTCAGTTGCGTAAGTGAATAACTTATGGGCGGAGGAGTCTTGATAGGTACGGCTGTTTCACAATGTGTACAGACACAACAGCAGGCAAACGAGTGCAGTGGAGGCTGTCAAAACCACTTTCACAATGGCAGGATATCCTGCAGGTCACCGAGCCATGTTAACCTCAACGGGAAGTTGTCACTTGTTGGGGGGAAGTGAGGATTCCAGCGTCCATTGGAGGAGTTTCTCTGAGGAGGTTGTGGTTTCAACTAAACACTAAGGTGGGAAACAGTTGTGTGCCATGCGGCAGTCTGCCTCCACGGATTAGTCATTTAGGTTCCGCAGTTATGAAATATTGTTTAACAGGGAGGCGATTATTTGTATACGATGAAATGGGGCACACGACTATGATAGTGAACTGTACTGAATTTAACTGAACTGGAACCAAAACGTGCTTGAGTGAGATCAAATACAAGACTTTTCCTCTGTGTTTTATTCAGGGGTTTTTTGTATAAAATTCATCAATTTAACATTGGATATATTTATAGATACAGCTATCATACAACAAATATGTCATTACCAAACGTACAATGTCCCTTTACTGCAATTCATAAAATACCATAGTTACCAAAGGTACCAATATAGGCTACTAGGTCCTGCTAAAAAAGCAGAAGAACCAACAACAGTGATCAATACTGAACTGTCTTTGTCAGAAAACTGCTGGTGTTGTTATGATATTAACACTGTGTGACGGTGGTGGTGTGTGTGTGTGTGTGTGTTTCCATGTATGCCTCGTGTTTTTGTGTCTGTACGTGTGCATGTGAAATGCGGCGATGAAGGGATTTATTTGTGTACCTTACTAAACTACAACTGCATTACAGCTTAAAAAAAAAAAAAAGAATAAAAAAAAAACAAAACACTGAAACATTCATATCAAAAGGACTGCATGAGTCATTTCATGATTTCAGTCGACCCATATTTTGTACACTTTAAGAACACTGCATGTCTTGTACCTCCACAGCAATTTCAAATAGATATATATTCATTCCAGGCAGTGAAACTGTCTGTTGCCATATTTGGTGTCATTTTTCTCGCCACCAAAGTGTAACAGAAGTAAACGGTACCACATCTGATGTACTTTTGCTTTACATTTGGAGTTTTGCCTGATCGCTCCCCTCCCCTTGGTTCCTGTCTCCCAAAAAGACAAATTTTTGATAGTAAACCCATCGACAAACACACTATGGTACATCTTCAACCACATGACTTGAATTTGAGTCACTGTTATTACATTGTGCAGTGGAAATACAATGCTATTTACAAATACATACTTGACTGCATTGGCACAATTTGAGTCCAGTCCGTTTATTTACGGCCTCCGACTGAGGCAAACTTTCTTTTGTGTTATTATTCTAACACATTAAATTTGTTGGGCATAAATTTTCCGGGTTTATTTAGAGACATTTTAGAACCATTTCCTTGCAGCCCCCTGCAGGTAAAGTGGATCTATTCTGGCTGATATTGTAATTAATAGTGTCATTAGTAAAACATTGATCCTCAATTTTACACATCGACAATCTTTGAACTGAGCGTCTCTTGAATGATTATTGTTTGGTTTTGTTTTTTTTAACTGTTGTGTTTTTTTTTGTGTCTTTTTACGATCGCTCTTTCATTTTTCTGTGGTTTTTCTTTTACAGAATATCCAGTCTTTGGAACTTTCAAAACATGTAAAA